CACCTGTGCAGTGTTTCCTGTGCCACTGGCTGCAACACAACCCCAAAGCATGATAGATCCACCCCCATGCTTAACAGTTAGCAAGGTGTGCTTTTCATGAAATGCTGATGTTCGGTTGCATACTTCTGACGTTGGGTTGTACGATGTGGACAGGTAAGATTTTCTGACTCTGTGCAAGCCAAGACCGCCACCGTTCCCCTGAGCCGCAGTCTATTAATTACATTCTGTGCAAATTGAAAGCTGACAAGGCTTAGTTATGTTTTTGTAGTCTTCTCATGCATTGTGGGTGTCAATAACTCTGAGTCTTACACAGCTGCTCAGAGGAACACAAGGTTGGAAGAGTCAGAGAATTTGTAAAGCCAGCTGACATTTCCTAACAGTTCATTGTTGGACTGAACTTTTGCACATGCCACAATGATTTTATTTCTGTTGAACCTGACATAAAACGCAACTATGCTTTAATGTTTGCTGAAATTATTGTGCTGTTTCACCTCCTAGAGAGCTTGTGTCTGCATGTTTTCAATGAATAAAAGAAACAAAACACCAAGATATGTTATTTGTCAAGGGAAGCCCAAACATTTGCAGAAAACTGTATCAGTGGTACATATGCATGACTTCAGCGAATATCCATTTTTGAACTGATTAATGAAGGATCAATATAGATATATTGGTTAAACAGGTACAGGTGCACTTGTACTATGTAAAGATGGATTCTTACAGACATTTTCAGATGGGACAGCGTTCTATGAGCTGTAGGTGAAACTCACTCACAGGACCACCATTAGCTCGGCGCGCTCCAGTATGTTGTTCGCAGTCACGTGATTCCAACGATGCTTGACATTCAGAATGAGGCAGAATGGAGGAGATGGAAAGATTAAAGCCCGTACTGCCCCAGTCAATGTGTGTAAAATCTGGAATTGTCCAATTCATTCAGTTCAATTCAATTATGGCTAAAACCCTATTTTTCAATGTCTGATCAACCCACCCCTCTGTTCCTGAGTTATGGTGCTGAATAATGGATACTAATTGAGTCTTTTATCCAGGACATTATAATGAGACTGGGAAAATGACCTTTGACCTTTTGGATAAACAAAATGTAGTCACTTCACATCATGCATCTGTGTGCCATTTTGTAATAATTACTGCATCAGCTCCATTTATGACCAAAAATACATCAAGCTCATTTTGAGGTCAAAGGTGTGACCAATTGTTGATTTAAAATGTGTTTTGTGATGTCATACCGACTTTGACCACCAAAGAAAGATGGTTTTCTAAAATGATAAGCTGTGATGAAAAGTATACGTGTTGTAATAAAGGGGCTTAGATATCGAACACCACTAGTCTTTAAACATATATTTCATGTCTGTGTCAAATACAGAAAGCAAGTTAACATCACTGCTTCCCTCAGCACCACTCTGGACTAAAGCTCTTCTTCTACCTGTGGAGTGAGTTGTTAGTTTGTGGATGAAAACACAGAAAATCAGAGGAAGGTTCCACAGATAAACAACAGAAACCTACCAGGTTGTGTTTTACTGTTTCAACAGCCAACTAGTGCTTAAAATGACCGGCGGCGGCAGATGATGTCCGGCTGTGTTCGGACTTCGCTCTGGCACTTAAACTGCAGCGCTGCCTGTTTCTGTCGTTAGAGCCGCTTAACACCGTGTGAATCAAGATGGCGGGAAGAAGCTGGCTTGCAGCAATACACAAAAAGTCCTTTATTGTATTTTTTTGTCTTCTCACTTTTTTAATGATGGCAAATTGATTACCTCTTTTTGTACAACAAAAGAACAGCTTTAAATAATTGAAAACCCAAAAAATGCAAACATATCAAATAAAGTCAAAACCAATTCCGGATTCCATTGTTTTGCCTTTTTCGTTTCATGCCTCCTTCCGTCGTCCTCGTCTGTTCTCAGTTTGGTTTGAACTCGGTAATCTTGGCACAAAGGTGTGTCAGTCCAGTCCAATGCAGCGTTCTGGGTTTCAGTTCAGCTGTTTCTGTCTGGATGGAGGTCGGCTCCTGGGTCCTGGGTCCTGGGTCTGATTCTGGTCCGGGTCCGGTAGGGGTCAGATGCGGGTGAGTTGGTGCCAGAGGCTGGACGGCAGGATGCTCTCCACCTTCTCCATGATGAAGTTCAGAGGAGCAAACAGCGTGCTGAGGAACTACAGCGAGACAAAAAAACAACAGTCAGACAAACTGTTTTAGATACAGCCACATGTCAACAGCAGGACGTCTGACACAGACGACACAGCATCTTTATAGCCACAGCTTTACCTTGTGAAACCAAATTCAGTTCAAAAGCCCCAAAAAACATCTTGGACATTATGCCAGATGTTGTGATCTTGAGTTAAACTACACCTGAAATTCCACTAAAAACATGTCTACTGTTATTCTTAGAGACTAGTTTATCGTCCTATAAACATGCAAACAACGCTGTCCATTTAATCTACAGTTCCACTTTGTGACTGACTGCTGCAGCTCTGCCCGCGAGTACAGAACAGCCTTGTCCTCAGGTTGGTGTTTTGGCAACAACCAGCGTAGAGGTGGGGAGGGGGAGGGGGAGTTAAAGGGTGATAGGGGCTCCACCAGAGCAAGGGTAGGTCATAGAGGTTCCCACTCTGTCAGATGGCAGATAAAAGCCATGACAGGGTTTGTGGAGTGAGAGAAAAGTCTGTATCTGTGCCGCCCCCCCTCTCCACCTGCATGTATCTGCCTGGTAGTCGACGTCTGACGTCTGCCTCACACATCGTATCACACATCTCCTCATGTTCCAGCTTCAAAGGGCACTTCAAAGTAAAGGTGTGTGTTCCATGTGTTTGAAGTGTGTGGGCGGCAGAGAGAGACCCTTCTGTAATCCAAAAAGTAGGGACGCACCACCGCGATACGCCTGATCTGTGTCGACAATCAGGGTATTTATCATGGAGACCTCATGACCCACTCAATCTGCTGGATGGAGCATGTATAGTGACTCTGACGTTGCCACCTTAAAAATGTCCATGTTACACACAATGCAGGGAGTGATATACAAACTGATTTCCTCTTATTTTTGATAGATCAATGATTTGTTCTTATTTTGTGAGCACCCATTGATGTCTGAGATTCATCTTGCTATGAAATTTGCCTCAAGCAAACAAACTGATTTGACTGACTCATTTTTAGTGCCACAGCAAACACTCGCCACATTTACAACTAGTTCTATGCAATTTGGATTTTAAATTTGAGAGAGTGCTGTATCAGATCGGTACCTGTTCTTGGCATCGAGTTGAGATATTCTGTATCAAAAGATAGAAAGTTGGATTGTTTGATTCCTGCAAAAGTCACTGAAATATAAAAATAAATGAATGAAACCTTACCTACAGTGTCAATATACTTAGTTTAGGGTTTTCCAAATTGTTTAGCTGATGTATTACACCACCAAGGATCTGACGTATTGTGTCTTGTGATCAATTTAACAACTAATAAGAAATGATGTTGATTATTATCAGGCAACAGCTGGAGAGGAGGGGACAAGGTACAGGACAGGGGGGCACAGAGGTCACCCAGGGGTGGGTCTGGCCTCTAAATGTCTGCCACTAATACCTACAATGTGAATGTAGTCAAACTTAGAGAGCAGGAGGCCCTTGTGTGTGTGTGTGTGTGTGTGTGCGTGCGTGCGTAGCTCCCCAGCTCTAAGCAGGTAGATGGT